AACAACAGCAGCAGCAGCAGCAACAACCAGCAGCAGCAACACAGCAGGCAGCAGCAAGACGCAGCATCAACAGCAGCAGCAGCATCAACAGCAGCAGCAGCAACAACAGCAGCAGCAAAAAACAGCAGCAGCAACAACAGCAGCAACACAACAGCAGAAAACAACAGCAGCAAAAAACAACAGCAGCAGCAAACAACAGCAGCAACAACAACAGCAGCACAACAACAGCAGCAAACGAGCAACAAAAACAGCAGCAACAACAGCAGCAACAACAACAGCCCAGCGCAAAAACCAGCAGAAACCAGCAGCAAAAAACAGCAGCAGCAACAACAAGCAGCAGAAACAACAGCAGCAGCAACAACAGCAGCAGCAACAACAGCAGCAACAACACGCAGAAAAGAGCAACAAACAGCAGCACAACAACAGCAGCAAAACAACAGCACCCAACAAAAACAGCAGAAAGCAAACAACAGCAGCAACAAAAGCAGCAACAACAGCAGAAAACAACACAGCACCCAACAACAACAGCAGCAGCAACAACGCAGCAGCAACAATAATAATAGCAGTATTGGAGATGAAAAGATGGTGTAATCAGTTGCGAAGATGTAGGTTCGAGTGGTCAGTCGGCAGCCTGGAAAAGTGTTCCGCTCCATATACTGAAACAGTGTGAATACCAAATTTTCTACTGTCTCCAGTGTTGTAGTCGACTGAAGTCTGCTATGCAGGAGAAACGTTTTGGCAGTAAAGATACCCAAGTGTATACCTGGAGAAGGTTTCGGGGGTCAACGCTCCCGCGGCCCAGTCTGTGACCAGGCTTCTCGGTGGAGCAGGGCCTGATCAACTAGGCTATTGCTGTTGGCCGCACGCAAACCGACGTACGAATCACAGCCCAACTGATCAGGTACTGACTTTATGTGCCTGTCCAGCTCCTCCTTGAAGACAGCCAGGGGTCGGTATCAATTACCATGATTTATATCATAAACTAGCTTTGATATACAAAGCAATCAATTAAAATATTCCTTAGCGTAGTAGGAGACAGACGAAGCTGGTAAGTACGATAACCAAAGATCAAGTGTGACTACAATGAACTACTTTAAGTAAGGGTTAACAGCCTTAACGTGTACATATGAAAAAAAAAAAATCATGATTCACAAAAAATTGGGGTTTCACGACTGGGAAGTCGTCGGGAAAAACTAATTTACTACAATCGGTTCCTGAGCAGCAGTGCTGTGGTGCTGACATTGGACTGAATGTGATCGGTAACAGCCTGATTAATTGGTCTTGATTCGCCCGAAGGTCTGATCTGTGATCAGGCCGCAGGAGCGTTGCCTCCAGAAAAATTTTTTTCCTCCCGGTAAAAGATTGAAGGTTCTGAACCGCTAAACGTCCAAGGAATCGGCACATTCATTGCATTAATGATGAAAAAAAATTCTCCGTCGTACAGTAGAGCGTTCGCCCCCAACGTTAATCATATTTATATATATAGGTTTGGAGCAGAGAGGGAGAGTTTTGGAATTCAAAACACCAGCCACTTAATTATTCAGAGCTCCCTACATACTGGAGGGTAATTTAGAAGGACAAGTGAGAAAACACTAGGATATTTGGAAAAAGTTTCGGTCCCGGTTTTTTATTTGATTTGATCGATTCGTCAGGAACTACGTCCTGACACGGGTCTTAATGCTAAGATGACCCTCCCGAAGGAGATGTCGAATAATTCAGTGCTGTTCTGTGGCCAAGTTCAGGGTCTTGATATAGTTTCAGTGCGTTCCACGGCAAAATATTTTATTGTTCAACAACTGGTGAGGCCATCAGGCCCCCCATCATTGTCTCTGGGTCCTGTGTTGGGTGATCGGGTAAATTTGCCAAAAAACACATGGATTGTTTCGTCCGTCATTTCCTTATTCGAAGGTCTTCGCAATAGTTCTGAATGTCTCTTTGTGTTCTTCTGAGTCTGTCAGTTCGCATATGATATCGATGAAGCACGTGTATAATCTACATCATTTGATGGCTCAAGGGTAATGTGGGATGTCCTGCAATGCTCTCTTTGGGTATAGTGCTTGTCACTTGTGACCGTTGGGGTGCTAGGGTTGACGCATTGGCTGCAGTCTGTTCCTGCAGCATGGGGCTGCTGGCTCCCATTGTTGGGTGGGAGCTTGAATAGGAGAATCGCAAGCTGGCTGAGGAAGGGCGTGACCCCGTTGCTGATGTTTCCTCGGCTTCCTTCGTCGGGTATGGCCGGGAAGTGGCACTGCAAGTATTACTGTAGCCTCCTCTGACGAGTTGCTGCTTAGTGGTGAGGGCTCTACTTGATGTTGGAGGCTGGACAACTGGAGTTTACCATGTTGCCTTGACACGGCGGAGCCTCTCCGGGCAGTGTAGGTTCTAAGCATGATGTTTCTTGTTGCAGTTAGGACATCGAGGTTCCGTAGCTTCACCTCTCTTGAATCTACTCAAGCAGTCCTTGGTTGGGTGAGGCCCGCTGCAGATGCCGCATACTTCTTTAAATTATTATTATAATAAAAAAAGCGCTAAACCGACAAGGCTTCTTTAAATTGACATCGGGCGCTGAGGTGGTTATACCCGTGGCACCTGAAGCACCTCACAGGCTCTGGTTTGTACACCCTAACCGGGTATGTTTCCCAGTAACCGAGATCCAATTGAGTTGGGAGAGGTCCTTTATGTTGGAGCAAGACCTGCCTCGCAGGTAGTTGCCATCCTTCCTGGCTCTGAGTCGCTCAGCTTTCAGGATGTTGTTTCTGTGGATTGCATCGAGAGGCATGTCTAGCAGATAGCGCATTAATACGCCTTTTGTCACCCGTTCTGTGGATTTTAGTTCTGTGAGAACGAGTGGTGATTCGAGGTCGTTCACTCTCTGCAGTACCTCATAGGGCTCTGTTTCGGGGAGTGAGAATAAACTATTTCGTCAGGTTTGGGGATACTGATATCTTCAGGCCGTATTTTCTCTCCATGTGAATTATAGTACCATGATGTGTCCGTTGTTGATGAGTCTGAATTTGTTGTCTGCGGATGGTTTAGTTTGACTGGTCTGCAGGGAAACACTGTGCCTTCCCTTGCACTTCGAAGATCGTACTTCCTGCCAACCTTCAGCATACGGTATTTCTGTGGTTAGGATGGGCATTTCTTCATTCATACTTATCTCACTGTCCAGGCTAATTTCACTTGTATCGTTGTCCCAGTCCAGAGAGTAGTCTCGCAGCTGCTTCGCCAAAACTGCTACCCACATTTTCAAATCCGAATCCTCTGTTGAGTTCTTGGAAGATCGTGACCTCTTCCTTTCGGAAGCAGCCATGAGTTTCCGTCTGATTGTCTCATCTTCGGTGTACCAGCCGATGAACTACTACTGTATGTATAATGTTCGTCAAGACCGTAGTCCTGGCACGGGGCAGTATATATAGGTGGAGAGTGAGGTGTGAGTGACGCATGGTGACCTGAAGAATGCCATATTGAGATAAGGACAGGTAAACAATGTGATCACGTGACTCCTGTGTTGTTAGGCAGGTAGTGCTTTGCCTGGCTGACTATCATGTATGCTAATGTTTTAGAAATTTTGTAGTTTACAGTGTTATGTTCTATGGTATCGGTGACGGCTATTAGCGAGGCTTCCAGACATCGTCGGCGTCTAAGGTCTTGTTTGGTGAGGACGAGCTGTTTTTCATCCCAATTCATCAAATGTCTCGTGTCGTCCCTATGGACGACACGGGAACTGCATGGGGTCACTCACATCTCACTCTCCGCCTCTATATACTGTCTTTTTAACCTCTGTATGTTAGGTCCCAGGACAGAAACGTTTTCTAATATGACCTAGTGTTCGCTTAAGTGTCTTGCTCAACCAACTTGTCGGTATTAATTGCCAAAGTTTATACCGTACCTGGAGGGTGTTCCTGGGGTCAGCGCCCCCGGAACACCCACCAGGTATATCAGGTTTACATTTTCACAAATAATAAAAGTACATTAAAGAAGCTTAACTATTTTACACCTCGCACATATAACCAAAATTTTTAAAGAACGGTCCTGCAAGCCACAAGACCAGATCATAATAATACTTTTAAGTGCTTGTACTCTAGGCTGGAATATATTGATGTACGCGAGCAGTCCGAGCAGTCTTTAAGGCAGACGAAATTGCAGACCTCGAAGATTTGAAGAGATGTTTCACTGTTAGTAATAAATTAGTGAGCTGTATGACTTTTGTAGGTGTAGCGCTTCTTTAAGATTATAATAATTAAATTAGTGACAGCGTAAATTATTGAGAATATCTAAAATTGTAAATTAATTAATGGAACGAAGGCAAGAAAGATGTATCGTACTTTACACTTGGAAAGTAATGAATAATTAAAATTTACAACTCGTATCTAGTTGTAAGTAGTGTGTAAACATTAAGATAAGATAAGATAAGATTTCGTTCGGATTTTTAACCCCGGAGGGTTAGCCACCCAGGATAACCCAAGAAAGTCAGTGCGTCATCGAGGACTGTCTAACTTATTTCCATTGGGGTCCTTAATCTTGTCCCCCAGGATGCGACCCACACCAGTCGACTAACACCCAGGTACCTATTTGCTGCTAGGTGAACAGGACAACAGGTGTAAGGAAACGTGTCGGAATTTCCACCCGCCGGGAATCGAACCCGGGCCCTCCGTGTGTGAAGCGGGAGCTTTAGCCACCAGGCCACCGGGCCACCAAATGGATTAGTCTTCCCGAAATGCTCAGGTATGTTAGTGGTTTTCTTTGTGCCTAACATTCTATAAAATGTAAATCACACATTGTAACCTTTGCACTCCTCATGGGAGGTTCCTTGACGCTGGTGAGGGGCTCTTGATCTAGGGAATTGGATTTGTGCTCCAGCTCCCTGAATTAAGCCTGAATACCTTTCATATCCCCCCCAGGCGCTGTGTAATCCTACGGGCTTAGCGCTTCTCCCTTAATTATAATAATGTAACCTTTGCAAAGAAATCAAAATTGTACTGAAAGAGCCGCAGGTGTACCTTGGAAAGCTCACCCCAACAGAAGCGTCAGGACCACTTGCAGAAAGATGCCGTATCAAGTACTGGAGGTGGTGGTCTTGTGAGTGCCACAAGAAGTTACCACAAGTCATGATTTACTGGCATCCACCCAGTGTTACCAACTCAGCGAGTGAGCTGCCCTTTCTTTTTTATATTCTTATGTCACAAAAAACAACTAGAATAACCATAGAAGAAATTTAGGCACATTAATCACATAGGGAAGAGTTAATAAAATGCTTCGGCTAATTAACTCTGTTATACTTCGGACAAGTGGAGGAAAACTGCTGTTATCATCATGTTTTTAACATCGTCCTAAATTAATTCTGAGGAGTTACTTTTTGCTTCTCTTAACCTGCTGGAGACGAAGGATATGCTGCCCGCTTAATATAATTATTTCTTCAGGTACATGTACAAGGTATACAGACCATAGTTGACATCAATGACATATTACTATATAGAAAGCCGCTTGTTATGCAGGGCATTTCGGGCAAACTAGGTCAGTTTTGTCCCAGGATGCGACCCACACCAGTCGACTAAAACCCAGGTACCCACTATACTGATGGGTGAACAGGGACAACCGGTGTAAAGAAACGCGCCCAATATTATATGTTTCTACCCTCGTCGGGAATCGAACCCGGACTCTCGCCGTGGGGAGCTCTCGCTTCGCACGGCGAGGATGTCGTCCTTACTTACACTAGTCACACTCAGGGTTGCCGGAAAAACCCTGTCAGAGCTGTCTTTGGGAACATGAAAGGAAGAAACAGTTTGGCTTGAACTTTGTCTCTTGAGCAATTTTACAGTGCCCGTGGTTTACACGTGAAAGCATGACCCACTTTTACGAATTATTTCGGGGGGAAGCACTAACTCTGGGGGGTTAGTGCCGGGGGAAATGCGTGGAAATCAGTTCGACCCAAAGGGTGGGGAGTGGCCCCAATTTTTGGATTAAGAGCGTTTTAGTAAATTTTAAAGGACACCTATAAAGGGAAGTAGAGAGCAATATGTTAATTGTATTTTTTAAATTATTATTAAGTTTTTTTACTGAAAGCTTAAAATCGAGGGGTCAAATTGAGAGCATTACGTGGCGTGACCATTTGAGGGATGACGGGGATTACTCTCTCATTGCGGTTGCGGCTAAATTTTTCACACAATTTTTCCGTCTGGGCACCATGTGTGCACCGGGTTGTTATCTCTCGGCCCGTTCAAAAATTTTTTTTTAATCTCTTAAAGTAAAGTTTAAAAGTGTATCCCTTTGACGGGTCGTGATCAGGTAGTGACCTTGTGTACTGATAGGTTTCAATCCCCTTTAACCCTTTTTTGGTCCCCCATCAGATGTGATTTGTATAAAGTGTGTTGAGTATTTTCGTGGGGTCTGCACTGAGGGAGTGTATAGCCCTTGTCTTAGCGCTTCTTTTTTATTATAAAAATGCCTAGGGAAAGTGTATACAAGGCACAGTACTAGCTCCATTTGTTTCCCCATCCTCATATCCGACTAGCAAGGATGTCACCCAGCACCGTGCTTCCTTTGCGATGACACCCGAATTGCATGACAGTGTCTTCCATTGCAGACACTGCAAGCTCCAGGCGGACATCAACTAAATCTTTCAGTGGGCTGCAGAAAACAATATGAAGTTCAACGATGAGAAATTTCAATTACTCAGATATGGTAAACATGAGGAAATTAAATCTTCATCAGAGTAAAAAACAAATTCTGGCCACAAAATAGAGCGAAACACCAACGTCAAAGACCTGGGAGTGATTATGTCGGAGGATCTCACCTTCAAGGACCATAACATTGTATCAATCGCATCTGCTAGAAAAATGACAGATGGATAATGAGAACCTTCAAAACTAGGGAGGCCAAGCCCATGATGACACTCTTCAGGTCACTTGTTCTATCTAGGCTGGAATATTGCTGCACTCTAACAGCACTTTCAAGGCAGGTGAAATTGCCGACCTAGAAATGTACAGAGAACTTTCACGGCGCGCATAACGGAGATAAAACACCTCAATTACTGGGAGCGCTTGAGGTTTCTAAACCTGTATTCCCTGGAACGCAGGAGGGAGAGATACATGATTATATACACCTGGAAAATCCTAGAGGGACTAGTACGAACTTGCACACGAAAATCACTCACTACGAAAGCAAAAGGACTTGGCAGACGATGCACCACCCCCCAATGAAAAGCAGGGGTGTCACTAGCACGTTAAGAGACCATACAATAAGTGTCAGGGGCCCGAGACTGTTCAACTGCCTCCCAGCACACATAAGGGGGATTACCAACAGACCCCTGGCAGTCTTCAAGCTGGCACTGGACAAGCACCTAAAGTCAGTTCCTGATCAGCCGGGCTGTGGCTCGTACGTTGGTTTGCGTGCAGCCAGCAGCAACAGCCTGGTTGATCAGGCGCTGATCCACCAGGAGGCCTGGTCACAGACCGGGCCGCGGGGGCGTTGACCCCCGAAACTCTCTCCAGGTAAACTCCAGGTATATCAGTATGTATATTTAAGGATTACAGTATTATATCCTTCATGCATGTCGTCAATAAACCCCTGGTTGCCTTCAAGAGAGAGCTGGACAGCTACCTAAAGTCAGTGCCGGATCAGCCGGGCTGTGGCTCGTACGTTGGACTGCGTGCGGCCAGCAGTAACAGCCTGGTTGATCAGGCCCTGATCCACCGGGAGGCCTGGTCATGGACCGGGCCGCGGGGGCGTTGATCTCCGGAATAACCTCCAGGTAACCTGACATAAACATATATAGCAACTTAGTTTTCTGATTACACACAGGTTCCTCCTTCAAACTGTACCAAAATTCAACAGTCATACAGTATTTTTCTTATCGAAGTTTATGTAAAATTAACAGCCATTCATTCGCATTTTCATGCTCAAATATTGATTTTGTCCCCGCCTGGAAAAGTGAACAGGTCCTGTTATGTCTCACTATTAAGGGATTTCATGATATAAACTATAACTGATAAAAATAATTTTGATAAAAAGACAATTGACCAAACACTAGAACATATTTATTAGAAAATCTTTTGATAAATATATCCTAGTGTTTGTGTCTTCTTTTAACCAGGAATTTCATATCCTTTTGTATACAGTTTGGAATGTCATTGTTTTCTTCTTTCTTTGTACTGTTTTCACCGTGATTATAACTTGTGTTTGTGGGTGTCTCGGTCATCCTTTATTTGATCTTTCCATTCATAGCCGTTAAATTTTAGTTTTTGTTGGTAAAAGTGTAAGATTAATATGTATCATGTTAATGACATCCGATTCAGGAACTGAGGGAGATGAAGATCTATGATCAACGCCAGAATAACCCAAAGCCGTTTTGCCAATGGTTGAAATTTATATTTTCAGTGGATGATTGGTTGAACTCGTATTTGGTGAATGATATATCTCATTTTGCCATTGGAGTGCAGATCTAATTGGTACTGATTAATGTGGCTGTTCACATGAGTGATAGTTGTGCAGGTCGAGTCAGAAGCCACCTGTGAGGAAAAAAATATTTGCATTGACAAGCATTATGAACACTGAAAAAGCTCTTAATTGCACATTACCTACTGTATTCTCTATTGTATTTTACTTTTCATAGTTTGACATTAAAGTAAACTAGGAATGGATCCTTAACGCCACAGACCTGAACAGCAAGATTCTCAGTATATAAATTCATCACATGAGTTGACAAAAGCCATATCCTGACAACAGACTCGCGTATATATGCAGCAGACGATGGCGTAGAAACAAGCTGTAAGGGCAAAGATGGTGCCAGGGAAGACTTCAAGTGTAGTGTTGTAAATCACTACCACGGAGAATATGGCGCCCAGCTCCTCCTCGGGTACCAGCTTAGAAAGCGGCTCTCGGGATGAGCCGAAGCTCATGTTGACGCAGCATGACGCCAGTGCCGCTGTAAACAGCATGAAAACACTAATTAATGTTTTCACCCTGTATTAACAAAACTCCGTGTGTTCTGTTGTCAAGTCACTAAATTGGGCTTTATTCAACAGGTTCAGACTACTGGTTTCCTGTTAAACCTCTGAAAAATAAAAACTGAGACTTACCGCTTTCCAATGAGAAACGGAAAACAATATGATATGGAAAACTGGAGGAAATAATAGCCAGAACGGAGTAGACTACAAACTCTAACCACACTGTAGAGAAAACAAATAGTGGGAAGGACTCAGATTCCGGGGGTGGTGGCCGAAGGAGGTATGCTTATGGTGGATATCCGGCCCGCCCTCTCTTTTGTCCACCGAGG